GGAATAAAATAGTCCTCCACATCAACAGAGACCTGATCAGCTCCTCGCACAACTTTACTGCACTGATTCTTTAAGAGGAATTTTCTAGTTGTTTATTGAATTGGAAACAAAATCAGTGAAAAAATGAGCCAAATAACTTGCTCCATTCTTCATTGCCTTTGAGATCTCTTTCCACATTAAGAGGTCTTTTGGAATTTGAATTCTTCCTGCCTAATGCCATATCAGGGTTAACAAAATAAGGCATTAATATTTTGAAGCTGGACCTAAGACTCCGGGTACAGTAACGCATTCGAAAGGATGACACACACAAACCTACAAGTGCTTCCCGTACGTCTTCATGTACTAACACACACATTTGTCTGTACTCACCAGTTCCTTATATACAACTACAGTAAACATCTACACTGAATATGGAGAAACAGACCTGCTTTTCACACACATGTACTTACCTCTATCAGTGACAGCAGCCATGGATACTTCTGGATTTGTCTGTCACATCTTGGGTGATGGATGTCCTTTTATTAGTCTTACTTTTGTTTCAGTTTCTATTCCTGAAGACTGAACTTTGGACATTTGTAACGTTACTCAGCTGAATATTTCCTCACGGTGACTTGCTCTTATGCAAATAAACTACCCCACTGGGTGAAACTGAGGGCAAGCTCCTGGCAACAAAAGACTGCAAAAGAGGGTGAGTCCCATTCAGAGTGGATCTGGGTGTGTAGACAAGGCTGCCTGCCAGAAGCTGGAACTAACAGGTGAGCTATTTTTTGCAATGCAGAACAGAAATTATCTCTCTTTATTACAACAAGCCCCAGAACAGAAAAGCAACTCTTCTCTAGTCACCCCAATGCATCAAGAGAGAAAGAGCACCTACACAAATGGCATCAAGTCACATAGTTGTGGTGTGGCAGATAACTTTTCTGGCAACCAGATATTATCAGAAAGTGGAGCAGAACCCAGTGAAGAGAGGGAAACAAAAGCTTGTGATTTTATGGAGCTCCAGCAGGTGGTGATGGTTACTGCCATTTCCCTTCACGAGACCATTCTGTGAAGTTCCAAGGACCACTCATACCATACACTCTTGACCCTGAGTCCTCAGGTAAGCAAGGAAGACTCTCAGTGTGTGTGAGGACACATCTACAGCTGTGGCCAGCGTCTAGCCAGACGTTCTCAGTCTAACTCTAAGCAAGCTGCCCAGCACCCAGGACAGCTATGGCAGTGGACAGCTTGTTGTGTGGGAATACCCAAATATTTATGAAACTTGACAACAGAGAAGAGCTCTGTGCTTACGTGAGAGCAAGACCTGAGCACCCTGAGAGCAAGACCTGAGCAAGCTGGTGAGCATCCGCAGAAGCTATTGATCATGACAGGTCAGTGATGTAAAAAGAACAGGCTTTTTCAGTGCCCTGAGAAATCTGCTCAGCATTACGAACTGGGCATCACCTTCCTGTGCTCTGTTCTGTAACTCACACAAGATGCAGCAAAAAGTATTTTCCATTTAATCTGAAAAATTAGCAAAACGGTGCTAGTTGCTACTGAGATTTCCTCTGACTGGCACACCCAAAACCAGCTTGCAGACCAAAGGCAATACAAAAGAATTCTTTATATGGCTTAGCTAGAGATGACTGTGCTGAGTCAATCTCTGTCACTTACAGTTTCCTCTGTTTTTGTGACACAATTATTTTGTGGCCTGATGAAAGCTGCAGAAATGGATCCCTGGTGAGCTGTTGTCTAAGAATGCATACTACTTGAGGACAAAGCAATTGCCTTCCTCAATGCCAAGTCTGACTTGGGATTGTAAAGCTAGGGAGTTGGTTTATTTGTATTCTGTTGTCAAAAAATATTCAGTTTCCTGCAAGGGCAGAACAAACAGAAGTGAACATGAATGGTGGAGTACAGAGGGAGGAGGGATTCAGGCACAGGCAGGACCCTCTGAAAGAGAAGACTCATCACAGTAGGTTATCAGGCAGTGCAGTGTCAACACAGTATCTCCCTTCAGGGCCTCTTCTTCCTCACCTGAGGAACCTGAAGGTGCACAAGTCCATGGGATCTGATGAGATACATCCACGAGTCCTGAGGGAACTGGCAGATGAAGTTACTAAGCCACTAGCCATCATATTTGAGAAGTTGTGGCAGTCTGGTGAGGTTAATGACAACTGGAAAAGGGGAAACATAACCCCTATTTTCAAAGAGGGAAATAAGGAAGACCCAGGGAACTACAGGCCAGTCAGTCTCACCTCTGTGCCTGGCAAGATCATGGAGCAGATCCTCCTGGAAACGCTGCTAAGGCACATAGAAAATAAGGAGGTGATTGTAACAACCAACATGGCTTCACCAAGGGCAAGTCATGCCTGACAAATTTGGTGGCCTTCTACGAAGGGGTTAAAGTGGCAGTGGACAATGGAAGAGCAACCGATGTCATCTACCTGGACTTGTGCAAAGCATTTGACATTGTCCCATACGATATCCTGGTCTCTAAATTGGAGAGACATGGATTCAGCAGATGGACTACTCAGCGGATAAAGAACTGGCTGGATGGTCACACTCAAAGAGTTGCAGTCAGCGGCTGGAGGTCCAAGTGGAGACCAGTTACGAGTGGTGTTGCTCAGGAGTCGGTACTGGGACCAGTACTGTTCAACATCTTTGTTGGCGACATGGCCAGTGGGGTCAAGTGCACCCTCAGCAAGTTTGCCGATGATACCAAGCTGTTTGGCGAGGTAGACACGCTGGAGGGGAGGGATGCCATCCAGCGGGACCTGGACAGGCTGGAGAGGGGGGCCCAAGCCAACCTCATGAGGTTCAACAAGACCAAGTGCAAGGGCCTATATTTGGGTCAGGCAATCCCAAACACAAATACAGGCTGGGCGGGGAATGGCTGGAAAGCAGCCCTGAGGAGAAGGACCTGGGGGTGTTGATTGATGAGAAGATCAATATGAGCCCGCAATGTGCGATTGCAGTCCAGAAGGCTAACCGCATCCTGGGCTGCATCAGAAGAAGCATGGCCAGAAGGTCAAGGAAGGTGATTCTGCCCCTCTACTCCACTATCGTGAGACCCCACCTGAAGTACTGTGTCCAGCTCTGTTGTCTCCAACATAGGACATGGACCTGTTGGAGTGGGTCCAGAGGAGGGCCACGAAGATGATCAGAGTGACAGAGCACCTCTCGTTTGAGGAAAGGCTGAGAGAGTTGGGGTTGTTGAGCCTGGAGAAGAGAAGGCTCTGGGGAGACCTTATAGCAGCCTTCCAGTACCTAAAGGGGGCCTACAGGAGAGCCGGGGAATGAATTTTTACTAGGGCATGTAGTGATAGAATGAGGGGGAATGGC